GGGAATACAATGGGACACCAAATACGACGTATCCAATACAAAATATGAATTTTGTAAAATTGTTTTACTATTATAGAAGTAGAAATTATTCGTTAATAACATTAGTGCAATGTTACATTTGACACAATCTTTATTTTTTATGTTAATATTATTAATTTTGTCTTTTCGTGGCAAAATCAGAGATTGTAAAAGACTCTTTTCTTTAATAGACCGAACTTTGAAATACTTTACAAACCCTATAAAGGAAAAAAAACGGGAAAAGACAAGTATTTCTTACAGAAAAAATGTATTCACTATTATATTACGTGATAAATATATTACTATTTGTGCAAGACCCCTTGAAAATATTGGCCTAAACCTTATTTATACAAGAAGTACTCATAGCTAGATCCATTGTTGTTTCATCCTTTTCAGAATATTTATCATAGTAAGACGATAAAAATATATTTCTTAGTTGTATAACATTTCCGAATATTTACTTTCATTCAAATATACATACATTTTGAAATTTCTTTCAGTAACATGGAAATTTTCAACATTTTAGCTTTGTAGTTGGTTTCTTTGGCGACCTGCTAGTTGCTTTGCCCGACTTTGTCCGACACATATAACCCTCTGAGTCATAGTAAGAACGGCTGACTTGCGCACGTTACGAGGACTTTCCACCATGTAATAATATCTAATCGGGAAGAAAGAATAATTAACTGCATCTCCCACTCGTTCCTAGATCTTTCTAGGAAAGTTTTCCATTAAAACAAAGTATATGACCAAGAGCTATGATAGAAAGAAAACTGTAATTTGTTCGGCTTGCGTCATCAGATTTCATACCCTTATTTCGTGAATTTAATATTTCGGGAGGTGTATAGTTCAAGAATCTTCAAGACTTTTACTTAATAATTATATTTATTCCGCTAATGTATGCAATAAGTCATGATAGCATGAGCACCATTGTTCCTAAATCACAAGAGTATAATGTTTTCTTCATTTTTTATAACCATCACTATTGTTATGATATCTAACATCTACAGGGGTTTTGAGGTCAAATTTGCAAATGAACGTTCTGGAAACCAGTTTAAACTGATATATTCTTAATATTAGACGTAATAATGTTTGGATTACCGCTTTTAGACTGAAAAATGACATATCACAAATTCCAATATTTCAGTCCGAAACAGCTAATAAAGTGAATCAGTCTACAGTCTTCTTCGAGATTAAGGCCTGATTTCTGTTAGCCTAATTTTTCTTCGGATTCGAATATGGGCATTGTATTGATTACTTGCTACAAAATGGAAGTCTCGTCCTCAGGACGGATGGTTTTAAAAGTTTTCAACGTCGCAAATGTGGCAGCACTGGAGACATGTGGGGAGAACCCCCTCCTGGGAGTGCTTCTGGCAATGAAAAGGCTCCCCCAAGTCGTTTTCCTCACCCCTTTCCCCCTCATTCCTTTGCCTGCCTTCCGTGACGGTTAAGTCAATTTACGGCCTTTTACTTTCTAGCAAGTATACCGAAGGCCGAATCACATTCATCTTCGCTCGTGGACAATTCCATTATCACACCACGTGTCCCTATGTTCCTTGTAATGAAATTATCTCTCATTGCTCCTTTACATTTTCCTTTTCAGTATGGGATTATCTTTTAGTTCTATTTTTCCTGGCATTTTTAATACAGACTCAAACAACACGATACAGGTAGTAAGTAGTAACAATCAACCTAAACCTTGCGAGAACTGTACGTCCGTTTCGCTAGTGTGTTTCTGCCAAGGTTGACCCTGGGATTAGTAGTAATTCTCTATGTTCTCAACTAAAGTAGAATTTGATTAAAAAAATGTTCTGTTTTTATTAATAATGAGATTGTCACTGGGTTAAAAATTTCGACATGTTCGGCCTGTGCACAGTAACTATCTGACAGAGGAAGTCTTTTCCGATTTGGCGAAGAAATGTACGAAGGGCTCTCGAAAATAAATGTTTGCTACGTATTCATGTGTTGCGGTATGGAACAGCGACGAGTTTTGTAGTTTAGGTACGTAAAGAACTGTTGTATTGTGTGTTTACTACATGATATTATTTTAGTATTCGTGGAGACTGTTGTTAAAGCATTTACATTATTGCAGTGTTATGCAATACTGTATTTGTTTTTCTTAAGCAGTGTGCGTGCTACCTTTGGAAAACCGTTTTGAGAGTTTGTTCAGCAACACATTTACTATTGCAGGTCACTAGTAGGTACAGTTTAATTCCTGTTAAATTTATTCGTAAAATTGATCGTAAAAATGAAGAAAAATGTAAGATGCAGATGCATTTAGTGGAATGTCCCAAGAAATATAGTATCGAGTATTTTGCTTGCTATATAACTCATTTTAAAAGCGGTAACACATCTGCGGTTCCATGCTAATCTTCTGACGACGTCGATTACGAGAAAGACTGCCAATTCTTATCTCGGGTTTGTTGGGATGTGGGAAGAAAACATTATGAACCACTGAAAAATGCTGATGATGCAAATCAGTCTGGCAAGGCAGCGTGGAGCGATGTCGAACTGGATGACATAACAGCTCCAGCCAGATGTGACTAAGACTCGAACCGCACGCGACGAAGGCTAACGAAAGTTGTGCGAACAGGTTGCGGAAACCATCCTAGTGCGCTTTTGCTGATGTCGACGAACTCTATTGTGTGCTTGCAAACAGCTGTATACATTTCAAACATTCGTCATAGGCGGAAACCAATCAGTGAAAGAATGTGACTGACAGTGCGGCATTGAGTGGCTCATTAACACATTGCTGAATTGGCGTCTTGCTCATCGTTCGAAATGCTGATGGTTGTTTCTCAAAACATGTTTCCAGCTAATAAGGCACACGCCCAAAAACAAAGAGTTGGTAATCTAGCAGTCAGTATACTCCCAAGAAAGTACCAGACTTCACGGCCATGTTCTCTTCGTACGTAAATTTCAGATGGACTAGAGGTGAGCTCGTAGTTGAGACGGTGATAATTTAAGACCTTCGGTCGCACACATTACTACTATGAAAATGAAAACTAAAGAAAATCTACAAATTAAAACAGTTATTATTTTAAACGGAATTTTTTTATAAAACCCCACTATCAGTCTTTTGATTCTGGAGAGTAGTCTATAGGACATATTCAATCATTTTTCGAAACATATCATAAATGTCTATGCATTTATTGTCCACGCAGAGAGGGACGATAGACCGCGGAGGGAACGGTTCTTGGTGGAGGATTGTTAACGGGCAACCGGACCGCGAGTTTCGCGGTGGCACTCACGTCGTTAGCCTCAAGGGAGGCAGTGAATAGGTAGCTTTCTACCGACCTTTGGGCGCGATTGGGCGTTGTGTTCATTAACCGGCATCCTCTGTGCAGCAAAGCGGCGGTTCTCATGAGCCCCCGCTGCCAGGGTTTCCTACGGTCCAGCGGAACTCAGGTCGATAGTTTCAAGGTGGAGGCAGTGAGGCGACGGGTTTGGTGCCCCGAGCACCCTGGGCTTCGGGTCGGGGACCTCCAGCTGGACACTTGGCTTCGTCGTGGCAGTGGCCAGATACTTGGGGCGTAGAGGAGGGATGTGTCCCGGCACATTGTGAGTGGTGCATTGATTCCACTCCGACAATGGCCTAGAAAGCTAGTATATCTGAGCTGGCAAAGGCGACACGACCAATGCATTGAATGGGAAAGTTGCTGAGAAGGGTACTGGCGGGACCCAGATACCAGCCTGTCGGCGTATTTGTACGCCGCCGGCCGTGAGTGCGGATACAGCCGAAAATGCACATGTGCCCACCCCGGGGGAAACTCCGCTTGGTAGAACAAGCAATTTGTGTGGTTCGGTAGACCATAGTTTCACCTAATATACATTTGTTTGAATAAGTGCGCTTTAGAATGGTATCAGATCAAAGTACTGTAAAACTTCTACAGACTACAATACCACCAGTTTACTTCCAGTTACGCGTTTATACGGATTCACAACTATTTCAATGATTTTGTCCATAGTGGTGCATCGTTCAGTTTGGTTTGCAATTTATTAATGAAGCTATGAGGGAACTACGTGTAAATTTTGTTAAGTCTGCTTTTAAGCGGAGTTCCTTGTAGCGCAAAACATTCTTCCCTCGTTTTGCTATCTTCGTCTGCAGCCTTGCAAGCCTCATATCTATGCGTGTTTGTATGCCATTGAAGATCGTGAATGGAGAAACTGTCGCTTTATGAGGAGTGTGGAAACGTGAAAGCTAATAAACGTGAATGTCTCGCGAGGGATACATTTCGCGACGCCTCGGTAACTAAGTGACTTTTTTTACCTTTTCGCCGACACGAAAGACTTTAAATGCACAGAACCAAACAGTGCCATCACATATTCGCAGGTGCTGAAATTTCTTTGATGTGCCTTTGGTTCTTGAGCAATTTAATGCTACCGATGTTATAAATCATTATTACAAATGTGCATTACTCCAAATTCCATTCGTATCTTTCACATTAAATCCTATTATTCCTACTCGCGGGGATTCAAACCACTTGTAGGTATGGGCGTTCCAACAACAACTTTAGCGGAATAGGGCTGGACAAAGACGATTCGACTCAATGAGATGTGATGAAAACCATAAACGCGACCAATCGTTATTTTCGTTTTATCCATCATCAATGCAAATTTTTAATATTCTTGAGCTTTTTAAACATTTTTAATACTATCTAATTTTTATCACAATTATAAAATATCTAACAATAAGAATATATTAATTAATATTCTAAAGGTCTATTAAAGCTTGTGTTTATAACCTGTACACTTCATTGTTATTTTTAAAATTATATAATAGCTGACAGTGTGTATCGTACCTGTACTTCGAGAGATACGTTTAAGGAATAAGAATGATTCCAAATAATCATAATGATTATTTTATATAAAAATGTTTGATAATTTAGAATTAATCGTAATAATTTAATTAATCGACGAATCGAATATAATTGTTTTAAATCAACTCGAGTTTTGGATTTAATTTATTACAGAATCTTTTCTACCTTTTGCAAGACTCCTCCGCAACCCCAATTACTTGCTGAATCATCATATCTGTCACTCAATATGTTGGTTATCATTATGGCAGCTTCAACGCTCATTCCGTATCGGGTGGAGCACACTTCACCATTTTAGGGTGGATTGGCTGGAAGTTGAGTTTGCATGGCATGCAAATTCTGGAAGACAAAATAATAAAATAAATAGCACAATAAACAATTTTAACTTATATCAATATACAAATTTAAGAAATGTAGAAACTAAAAAATATAACCATTTAAAAAATATAAACACTTTAAAATATAAACATTTTAAAAATATAAACATTTTAAAAATATAAACATTTTAAAAATATAATGTTATTTTGGTTTCCGTGAAGTATACGAGTTGGATAAAACAGACGACGGTTATGAGCTTCACCGATCGAGCGCACGTGTCACCAGAGAGGCCACCGAAGCAACAGATGACTTTATTACCTCAGGTGTTTACGACTAGCCGGCGAAATCTTCGACCGCTTCACGGAAGCCAGGAAGCTGTATACGGTGTATCTACGATAGTAGGGTGAAGTCAACGACCGGAGAATACGCAGTCACAGGGACAGTGACGTCAACGTGACTTTCCAATACCGCCAAGAGAAGGGTGGTTGGATTAGTAGGATTGAGGTTGTGGTGCAACGGACAGACATCCAAAGGTGGAACAAACCGAAAAACAAATCCTGTTCTCGGAAATTAGATGCCGGTCTCCTTCGAGTGATGAAGCGGAACATGACGACTAAGCCCAGCCTAGGGCTGGTTAATTAAATACAGTAGGAACTCCATTAACTGGGACACACGAGCTAGGGCTACCTCGAAAGCATTTAATATCTGATAAATGAAACAATATTTTGGACATTCAAGCACAAAAATGACCTTAGCAGATTTTCATAGTATTCCTAACACTTTTAAACGATATGACACTCAAAATCATGGAACAATTTTTACAGACATGTTAGCTGCCCGCCCTTCCCACAACATCCCCTTTTGCAAAATGCGAGGAAGAGAAACGTTACATAATTTAACTCGGTTAATGAAGTTCCTTCTGCATTTACTTTCATTCTTCTTCTTAATAGCTCACTGCATGTTTCATCAACATGAAACGCTACTGCAAGTAATAGTCTCGTCCCTTCTTGAAACTTTCAGTTCACTTCGTTATAGTGAACCCGCGAAATTATTATTATTATTATTATTATTATTATTATTATTATTATTATTATTATTATTATTATTATTAATGGCGAGGTGCCAGAAATTGGTATGGTTTATCATACACTCGTGTTCCACTATTCCACCTGAATACTTGTACAATTACCAATAAAAGCATATTGCAGACTATTCCAGCATTCAGTCTATATTCCCCGCCACATAAGTAGTCGCAGTTCCTCAGCAGTATTAACGCTGAGGAATAGCTCTCTCTTTCACCGCTGCCGAACATCCG